TTGTATAGTAGCTAATAAAGCGAATAATAAATTATACTACAGTACTTTAAGAATACGTCAAACTTTCCATGGTAAATATATTAACATTCCATATGATCTTTTAACTCCGTTAAACTATTCTCACTGAACTATTAAAGATTGAAAATTAATCAACTCTTAAAATATGTAAAATACGTGCATTTTCTTACATATCTAAGAATCTTAAAAGAATAAATATGAATAAATGATTCCTGAATAGCGCGATCTATGACATCAGTACTAAGCTGACCTTTTTGTTATTTGAAAAAGCCTTAAACTCACTGGCATTGTAAATGGTATGATGCAGGACATTTATCACAGCATATTAGTTCTCCCCCATCTCTACAAGCATCACAGATATCGCGATTATGACCTCGTCCACGTCTTTTAAAGTATGGATGTTTCTTTTCTTCTTTGTCCTTTTTACTTTTTGCTGCCTTTGAATCCTCCGATACAGGCGGTGCTATAAGCGCTTGAATTTGCTAAAAAAATGCGAGCGTCACGAATATGATAATACTTTTACAATTATACATTGAAAACATTTTCAGTTTCAGAATAGTTCATATTTTTTTTATTACTTACTGGCATTAGACCTCCTATCATTGGAAAACCGTATTCTACAGTCCCCATTTTGAAGCAAGTTTCGATCTTGTAAAGGCCTGAAGAGGTTTTTATTAATTTTTCTTTTAGAACCGCATAATATTTATTTGATTAGGAACAATAGATCTACCCCTACTTTCTATTTTTCATATCTAAGTTGGTTATGTTTAAAACATAGATGAAGAAGATACTAGATACGCCAGTGGTATCCACCCTTAGATCAAGGGTCTGAGGCGATCCTGTTTGTTGTACATGTGTGTGTGGGCGATTGCAGTGCCTTTTTTGGAGAATGAACGAAGCTCCGTGCGATGTTTTTGTACAGCGCCAATTAGAATAGCGACAAAACGTTCAAACTGTTAGCCAAATTACCGACAGTCGATTTTGGCCAACAGTTTCACCGTTTTGCCACTTCCCCAATTGGCGCTGTACGGACATCGAACGGAGCTTCATATCTTTCTCTAAAGGAGGCGCCACAGTCGTCCACACACGTAGAATGCAAGGTCGTCTAAAAGCATTAAATATGGTAAAATTAGGGCACAAAAAAACTTTACCATGGACACAGAACCGTTTAGGAAAATCTGCTGCATCGATATCGTGTTACAAAAACAAATGACAATATTACGAAATGTAATTAATTATCCATTGAAAATTATATGTTCCTTATGTAAGCCTTTCTCGAATACGAATACAACAAGGGGAAGCTGTTCGATCGCATGCAAAAGATTCGTCAACGAATCGAATAATGTATATTTTGCGTATGAAAAATTTTTTATTGAAAAATGTTCTTTCACGCTACAACGTCAGTGTACCTTCGTCTATTTAACGTTATAACAGTACAAAAATTGCATTTTTACAAGTTATCCAGCTTACGTGACTAAAATATCCCAGTTAGCAATCTGATAATTCAAAAGCTACGTCTCTTACAATAATAACAGAAGGCGCCGTAGCAGAGGCATTCTTTGGCGACAACGCAATATACCAGCCTCGAAAAACCATTCTTATTCATCGTCACGATCGATTAGACACGGAGAGATCCGAATACATTGAACGCGTGTCCGTTGACAGTCGCTCGGAATTTTCCTCTTTCTACGTTCGAATAAAAATGGTGTTCCACTAGTACGGCTCACTAAAATTTGGCTGGCCAACGTTTATTCTCAGTCCATCGTTGCTAAATCTCGTTCGATCCATTCCCACGGGACCATACGGAAAGGTCACGAATCTATTTACGTGTGGTGCGAGAAAAACGTTCGACCGGGTGAACCGTAACGTGCAAACACACTCGAATGGAGTATAATTACACAGAACCTATATAGGAGACCATCGGTTTACGTACACTGTCGTTAATTACACATCAGTATTCACGTTCGCCAGCCAAAGCACGCCTAAAAGAACATAATCGAGGGCGGAAGCCCTCGGGGGGGTTCGCGAGGAGGCAAGTTTCACGCCATCGTGATCAATCGTCTCAACCGTTTCTGTGCTCGTTCCGCTTCGAATCTTTGAAACTTTTTCCGCCTTACCTACCGATGCAAAATTAGACAACAGTCATTTGTCTTGCTACCTGGGTTATCATCAACGACGCTTTCGGCCGGAAACTTGCCTTTTTTTTTGTTTACATTAGCGAAAATGTTTCCGGTTGAAACAAAGTCTCTATATTCTTTCATGTTATTCGATACATATATGTATACTACGCGTATGCATGTACATACAAAGTAAGCCAACCTAAGAAGACTGGAACCTCGAAACATTATAGAAGAACCAAATGATTTGTTTTCAAGCATCGGATCGATATATTCTTCCAGAACGTATTCTTGGAAAGCCTGAAGCTCACGTGGATCCGAAGCTGGTCATTTTATATAAAAACGCTATCACCGATCAAATTTATCAATTCGGCAGATATACTAATTTATACACTGCAAATAGGTGGCACTGCTAGCACAAAGTCTGTTTTATGAAAGTTACGTTCGAAAGAAGGTGCTTTAGCATAAATACAGATCGATCGATACCTTTGATCGTCGATAGCTCTCTTCCCTTTTATAGTGAACGATAAGCTACGTTAACTAGCATATGAAATAATTAAAAATTTCGTTTTCGCAATACGTTCTTTTAAACTATCAGTATCTTAGAAATTAAAAACGAAGCTGATTCATTTGGATTCCAGTCTTCGGTCGCTTGTTCCGTATACATAAACGCATACACATAGTGCACGCGTACACACACGTCTTTTACCGAAATCGATCACCTGAAACGCAAGCATCCGGCCAAAGAGAATATCCTGTGCTAGTAGTGTTTTAACAATTACACCGTTCATCGTGGTACAGAGTCCTCTTTCTCTAAAGCAAATTAAAGCAAAATGTAACGAATGGATAAGCGCCGATCAAACACGTCCGATTATTAAAATTGTCTGTATGTTCGCATGCGTCCAAGCTTCTAGAGCCGTTTAAATCTGTTCTTACGGGGGTGCCCTCTTATCCATTCGATGCCATCGAATCGCACACGCTATCTTTTCTGCCTGAAAAAACCACCGATACCCGCCGCCGCCCCTCCGCGCGCCGGTCGTCCCTTCGATCGTACGTCATCATCCTGAACCAAGCCCAATGTTTCCGCGGACCTCGACGTAACGACAATGTAAGTACTAAGTACGGAATATTCGCTCGATTCTACTTGTCTTGACTATGCGACGACGGCGATGACGACTTCAGTCGAATCGACGAACGACGAGAACGTCGCGAGGGGGCGGGGCTCGGAGATGTTTCCGCTCGTAGATTTTGAAACGGTCGTCGATCTTTGGCAGAATCGCGCGATACTCACAATTACATCATTTACTTACATCACATACATTCGTTCGACGCGGATAATAATCTCTGCGATTTGCATTACTTAGTTCAGGTCCTGCCCTTTTCTTTTTTTTTCTTTTCTTTTCTTTTCTTTTCTTTTTCATTGTCGTCGTTTTCGTTTCCTTTTAATCGATCGCCTATTCAGATACTGCGTTTCAGTACGAAATAATAATTCTACGTTGAACGAGTTTCCTGAAATCGTTTGGAAGCAGTCTTTTTCAAACATTTTCTTTTGCATGCTCTGACGTAAAAATCGTCGTCATATATCTCCCCTCCCTCGTCTCTCTCTTTCTCTCTCCTTTCGTTATTCATTCTGTGTTGCATCTCTTTTTCGCACTTTTTTTTCTCGTTTTCTATATTTTTTTTTTCACCCATTTGCTGCCTTACCGATCGCGCGCGCGCGCGTTTTCCATGGTTTTCTCTGTTCGTGTTTCTTTTTTTTTTTTTCGTTTGTTGCATTCAATCCCGCGCGGAATCATTATTGTACAAGTAATTATCTACACACACGTTAGCTGGTAGAAATTAGAATTGTATCGTTTGACTAGTTTTCTTTTTTTTGACCGTCCCCCTCCTTCGAAATCATACGTGTACGAAACTCTGGAATTCTAGTCGGACCAACGTAACTAAATTTTCCGCGTACGCGTGTAACAGTAATCGTTTACGATTTGATCGTGTATAATGATTTGTGCATATGTGTAACATGATCTGACAATGCGTTTTCAAGTGTCGATGTATACATTATAATATTGTTTAAAGGAATCCTCCGAAGTGTGTGCATGCGTGTGTGTGTGTGTATTAGTGTAAAATTTACTGTCTTCAAATTTCTTTCTTTTCTTTTTCTTCGTGTGTAGGAGTGTATTAATTCTCGTGTAAAAGCAAGTCTCGCGATGCCGAAAAGAAATCGCAATTTTTTAAAATATTTTCGATCGTTCCGTGATTTGTCGTCGACGATCCTATTATGTCACGCTCGAACAGGCTAAATTTTTAATTAATCGAGAAATCACCGCGCGCCATTTATGTAGATTCATCATCCTAGTAAGAGTATAATCGTTAAAATATAACCGTTATAACCTACAATTACAGCTAGACATTATTCTCGTTTAAACTCGCTTTTCGTCTCTCGCTCTCGCTCACTCGCTCTCTCGCGCACCTCGTTCTCTAATTCTTAATATTTTGACAGGTTTTTCCTTCCGCAGTCTTCCAATTGTTTCTTATTCACGCGCGCGTGCAGCTATCCTACACGAATAAACGAGTGCAAATCGTCCAAAATTCAACCGGCTCCCGGCGCGTGAATTATTCAGTCTTTCGTTTATATATATTTTTTTTTCTCGTTTCGCGTTTGCCGGTACGTTAGTCGCTAATACTACGTTAATCGTTATTATTATTATAATTATTAATATTATTATTTTTATTATTATCGTTATCGTTAAATTTAAACTTCTTTCATCGTTTCATCCAATTCTGTTTTTCTTGCCTTGCACGAAAAAATATTATGCTACGCGTTTACTCGCGACGTTTAAGTTAGAATGCTAAAGTCCGTAAATAGAGTAGGTATTATTAAATGATGTATGCTTATAATTTAAAGCCACAGATTTCGATGTCGCATCACATAATCACATGATGCAATTAAACGACGCGTCTCCGTCGCATCTCTCAACGTCACTACATATAATATTTAGTCTTATACCCTTTTTTTTACGTTCGCATAATACATCCTTAAGGCCTTTAAAATCCGTTTGTTGTATAAACCTCTTCGCCTTTTTCTTTTTTTTTTTTTTGTTGCTCTCATTTCTTTTCGTTCTTTCCGTCTCGTTACAGTTTAAGTCTCGTTTCCAAGAGAAGAGACACATGGTAACTCTCGCATTCGATTGTGTGTATGTAACAAAAATTTCCGAGATCTGTGCGCAAAACTACAAAGCATACACGTTATATTCATGTTCCCTTCTTGGGGCAGCATAGACGAATTTTAAAAACGTGTACGTTCCCGTGTTACGTTAATTTTTCCACCTTTCTTTCTTTCTTTCTTTCTTTTCTTTTTCTTTTTAATGCATGTAACGAACTGTCAAACTTTTCCTTTTTTCTTTCTTTTAAGTATGCTTCCACTCTAGGGAAAATTACAGTGATAATACAGTGATAGTGGAGATAGTATAATAGTAGTAATAGCAGTACTTGTAATAGTAATAGTGGCGCTACTAGTAGTAGAGTAATAGGAATAGTGATAGCATAGTGATAGAATGGTAGTAGTAGAAGCAGCGATAATGATAGAGGATAAAAGTAGTAACAGCATAAAAGCATACGAATAATTGGTGTTAGTTAATTGTCAGAGAGATATGGTGGCGTCAGTAGTGATAATAAGGGTTATATAGCAATAATAATGGCATTAACTATAATGCTAGTAATAATAATATAGTGAACCGTAATGACGATGGCGATGTTGACGATGATGGTGGCAAAGCATTTTTGTTTTTGACGACAATTACAAAACTCATTAATAGCAATAGCGACGGTGGCGACAAGAGCAGATTAAGAAAGATAATTCTAATAATGATAAAAAGAAGTAAAATCAGTCAGTTCATTAAAATGAATTACATTACATTAGTATAATGTGTCCCTGGCGCTTAAAATCAGACGAAATTCCATTTCCCGAAATGGATAACACGAAAAAAAAAAAAATAATATTGCAAACATCGCACAATAATGTGGTGTACCTTTTTCGTCCCCCATTTTTTTTTCCATAATATATGTTAAACGATTTAATCCGCTTCCCATAAAATTCTATCATATGTGTATACATATATATTCTTTATATAATACATTTATATAGATGCAGCAAATAGTCAAGGAAAGAATCTATCTTCCTAATAGCATTTGGCTTGCCAAATTCTGTCAGTTTCATTAAATAGTATAATTGCATCGGGTATAATAAAAAATATTATTTTTTTTTTGTTTAAATCCTCGCGAGTCATTTAGACATCGCAAGCTGAGTGTTCTCGGTAATGTCTCTTTAAATGTTAGACATTTTTTTTTCATTTGGTAGGGCTATTAAAGCGTGTGAATTTGTGCGCGTCGAAGTACGCGCAACTGTCAGCACTATCATCGCTGTCGATCTCTTTAGTCGCAAGATATATGGGACTCAGTCTTGCCTTCGGCTTTGAAAAAACGGAGCTCGGACACAAATATATCTATATATCACTTCATAAAAATTCCCTTTCCACTTTTTAAACAGGACTTACTGCGTAGATCCAGTCATCGAAACGAAGAATTCGTTAGGCCTCGCCAAAGCCACCGATCGCTTGTTCTGTCATTCTTAAACAAAGAGATTCCAAACGAGAATTAATCTCCGGCTCCGTTGTTTCGGATGTGTTGTTCCCAGTCTGACCAAGAAAATGATCCCTCGGCGCGCTGTACGTGCGCTGCAGCGTTCTTTGTAATTGCTGGAATATAAAAAAAAATAAAAGTTTTAAGAAAAGAATCTATGCTAGGCGTGTTCTCGAGATTAAAATATTTTAGTTTAGTAGACATGTACCTGTAAACTAGATTCTTGTAAACTGGGTCGTTTCTCGGCCGTGTGAACTGAACGTAAGGTATTCTGATTTACACTTTGGTTCTGATTATTTTGTAGGTACGGTGTGGATATACTGTTCCTGTGAGTGCTAACCACGAAAGAATTGTTCTGCTGATGCGCATTGTGAATGTGACTTAAGTTCAAACTTGGCTTTCTGTTGTGCTGTTGTGGATTACAGTATCTTCTGTTATTATATCCATAATTGTGTTGCCACCTGAAATTGTAGTTGACAAATTATCGGTATTGTCGCGACGAACGTCGGTCGTTATTTCTGTATAATCCATATACAGTAATTATTTAATTTTCCTTACTTTGGGGTAGGTCGTGGATTTCCGAGTCTACTACGCCATTGCTGTACCTTTTCCTTCTGGTTTGGTGTAAAGCAATCATGCTGCAATACTTTTTCTAATATGTTAATACAAGCGCACAAAATGCCATCATCCACGCTATCCAATGCCAATCTGCTACACACTAAGAAATAAACGAACACAGTTACGTTAAAAAAGTTTTTCCACATTTGTTACCCATACGCATTGTATTGTTTCTCTTTTTAAACATCATGCTTACAAGAATGGCATACTCACGTTTACCAAGAACCTTGGTGAATTGTGCTGGTATGTCTTGAGGATCATTTTCTTGGCTTGGTTTCATAGGCGTAGCTAAGATTGTTTTCAACTCGTCAATGGTGTTGACCAGTATCGTTGGTCCTTGAGAAAACGATGTCGACTGTATATTATCACGGGTTGGCTGTAATAAGTCTTTTTCTAAATTTACAAGCGCAGTATAGCGTTGCTGCAACTTCGCAATGGAAAGGGCTAGTTTATGCCTGGCTCCTTTTGTCACTCCCTGTTCTGCTAATTGTTCTTCAGTCAATTGAAGCATTTCTTCGTAACTCAGGGTAACAAACAGATAACTATACTTATGAAGGCGCAAGGTTTTAAGCCATGATGGAACGTCTATAAATATAACCAAATGGATTATACACAATGTCTAACAATACGCTATGAATATTTTAAAGTTATATAAGTGCCTACCTCTCATACCACTAGCAAGTGAGAGATTAGATGTTTCATCTAAACGTCCTTCACTGCCACTACTTGCACACGAGCTCTGAGGACTCAATGGGCCTAATCCGATAAGATTGCCTGTTTAGAAATTTACAATTATTTAAAATAAAACAGAATTATATGTAAGAGAGTATGGTATCGTATGTTATAATTTTAAAGTAAACTAACTAGTATGGTCTCCAGAGATGCTAAAACTTCGTGGCTTGTGCCTGGTCGAGCAATTCACATTGTTACTGCGATCGACTACCTCTAAATGATGAGGTGGAGCAACTGGTGGTGTTAAACTATTTGATCGGCGTTGGCGAGTTACAGGTGGAGGAAATTGCAAGTTAAAGGCAGTACCTGGTTGTGTACCAAATAAATTTGTTTGATCATTCTGTTGTTTAGAATTTCGTTGCCATGCATTATCCCACCTGCAATGAAAAATAAGCTTGGTACACGTAATCACAAATAATACGTATATATAAAATTTGGCTTATAGATTTTCTTAACTCACCTAATAGATGTATTAGTATATTCTTCAAGACTATGTATAGGTGGTGTACCACTAATGCGCTCTTCCAGATGACGGAGCCATTGAGTCAAAGAACGTCTATCTTGACTAGTAATAGCTGGATGGATCAAAGTATAACTTAAAAGTTGTTGAATTTGTTCAGTATGTTGACCTGTGGTTACACAGTGACTCACTAATTCTGGAATAGCTACTAAGTAGCATTGTTTGCACTCTACATTCCCAGGCCTTAATAATGGCAAATGTGTTAGAAGTTGATTAATAGCAACTTCTGTCGATTCAGAGAGTAAAGAGTTGATAAATGCTGTAAAATGTTATTGATAAATATCTTTAAACACAACTGTAGTATACTTGTGTCAGGTATAAACAAATTACCTGGATTATTGGCATTCAATTCCTGCGTATCTAACTCAGAAACTGAGTGCAAGGAATGTTGCACTGCCTGTGCAAGAAACCTTGCTTGAACTGCAGGAATGCGCCGAAGTAGAGCATAAAGAACTACAGTTTGTTCGCACTCATTCCATTGTGAGAAAACTCTAGTGAGCTCACCTACTTGTTCACAGAACAAGGGGCCATGTGACCACTTCATTTTTGTCAATGTTTTAATATCAAGGAGCGGATATTGAAAGCTCCACTTTTTGTCGTATTGTATGATTTACAATTTATTTGTATTCCAACGATGGTTTGACAATAACAAACATGTGCCAATATTCTGTTTCAAAAGAATGTACTATTTAAGTTACATGGTTAGTTTGTAAAATCAAAATACAAAATTTAATATACGTAGCACATTAATTAATTAATTAAGTAATTTAGATGTATCAACCTTATAGTACAACGGCATAAATTGTAATAATTCATGTTTTTTTGTTTCAATACAAAAACTGCATATTATAATATTTAAAAATATTGAAGTAATTCGTACAATTTGAAATTAATTAATTTATAAAACGAAGTAATAAAATTGGTGAATTTCAATTCTTTTTATTCATATAACAAACATTGTATCGTCGCCGAAATTGTGTAACATTTAAAACAGCGTTATCGAATTAATATTTAACATAAATTAGCATATCAGCTTTCTAGAACAGTGAAAGTGTGCTGTACATAAAGCCATCGATCAATTGTATTTTTTCAAAAACAATACCCCAATTTATCCTCGTTAATATTTGAATAAAGCATTAAAACTCTAAACGAGAGGAAAAGTAATAATAAAACGATAACTTGCCGTAACCTAAGCTCGCATTAAGAACATTTTCTTTCACGAATTGTCACAAGGATCCGTTTGACTTCTCGCTGACGAAACAATAATTACTGTTGCTGTACAAAACGGTTGGATTTTCACGCACATTATACACATAATAACGAACGGAACAGTCCGACATAACCTCAAACGTGCCTGTGTACACTGCATCAACTGTAGATATGTACATCGATAAGAATTCCGCTGAGGTCAAGTTTGTTTACCCCGCGATGCGTGTGTATTTATAGCTTTCCTGTTACGATCCATTTGGCGGTGCAATGGCACCGTGTGCGAGACTTTACATGTCTAACAGCGGTTGATATGCTCAGATTCTTTTTTCGGGCCCAAAGATCGTAAAGACGACCACAAGTTTTTTAGCAAAAATAGAAAACCGCTAGCGCAGTAAAATTCATGCATTTCCTAGGATAATTCTGTTTGAAATCTCCATAGAATACTTCGAGTCGCTTTCGTCGGTGCCGCCGCGTATCTTTGTATGTGTGGGACACACTGTAGAGGGGAAAGAACGAAGAACGAAGGGAGGAAAACAAGGGAGTTAAAAAAACTCATCTATGCGAAAGTATTAATCGTTTTTATAGGAAAAGTTGCTGAACGATGAACAGCTTAACATTCGTACGATTTTAATACGATCGATAGAGTTATTCTACAAACGTAATGAATACATCGCTACTGTACGACCAGCACTCGGCCATTGAGCCGAACAGCAAACAACAAATTGTACGCTCGAATCGGTCAACACGCTCTTGCTACGTAACATAATTACATGCTGTTGTAATTACCGTGTGCAAGGCTGGAGATGGCTGCTCCACGGGATCGTTGTCTTCCTTGCAAAATAACAACAATACACAATTATAGCATTTTATACGACGTTGAGTTAAAGGAAACATCTATCCACCATGCGGTATGGTGGGCCTACGTGACCACACTGGTTCATTGTCGCTACTCGTTGCAGAACTTCGCCTCTGCTATTGGTCCTTGCTCAAATGGTATCAACCAATCGTCTGACAGTTTGGGGCGCGGTTCGTTTGTGTCTCAAAAAGATGTCCGAATGCTTTTACTCCATTTTTCAGTTTGTGTTCGAAAATTTTGAATAAATTTATTACACATTGATTTGAAATTTATAATTCATGTTCTTGTATTTCTTAAATAAAATGTTTCTCACAGTTAACGAAAATGTATGAAAAGGACTATGAAAAAAAATACTTAACTAAGTATTTGCACTTAGTTTAGTTACATATATCAATCAAAGACACTTACTTATTTATTATTGTTAATGTTGCTTTATTGAATGCCACTAATTCTCGTTTATTTTGTACCTATATTCAAACTACAACATAAAGTACACACAATCTTTATTTTCAATCAGATTCATCATGATACACGTATATAATGAAAAATAAATTTCAAAAAATCATCAGTAATATGCTATATTATAAGAAATGGTATTTTCTATAGTTACAAAAATGTTGAATGCGAGTATAAATTCTTGTACATTTGAAGAACAATTTTAAAATTACTTCAAAATAATGAAGGAACACAAAGAAGATAACAACTGCTTATACGTTGACTATGATATTATATATTTTTATCCTAAGACCTGTTATTTGTAGGGTAGTAAATATTGTCACTCATTCCGTCGGTTTCAGTGACTAAAGCACGTTCCAGGATGACACGGCCCTCTTTGTAACGTTGATTATCGTCTGTTGCAAATTCATATGACCACCCAAGCTTAGCATCACAGTTTTTGCAGCTGACATCTCTGACCATGTGACGACCCGTCAGCATCACTCTATCCTGTACGTCGCTGTGTATCATTGCAGATGAATTAAATTACGAATATGCAATAATTTCATAAGATTATTCCATTAGTACAATTTCTTTGAGATTTTGTACATGTAACAATGGTAACCTGTGTGCTAAACATTGCTAAAAATCTAAATATACGCATCAATAAAAAAAATCATGAACCTAAGAATAAATAGATAATATAAAAAAAGAAAAAAGTGACGATGAAGATAAAACTATATCTCTTTTGCTTTTGTAAATAATTTTATTAAGATAATACAAGTGCTAGATTTCGTTATCAGTGTCAGTAATCTACATTGAAACCCACCAATCAAAATAAAAATAATACCACATTATGCACTCGTATTTAATTCAAAAGAAAGACTGAAGAAAAAACTCTAATTATTATTTTTCTTTCGCGTGCACTTATATAAATTTCGGTTCGCAGAAAATAGTTATTCGCGAATATAACATATTCTATTCTCTTAGGTACATGGAAACAATGATATTCCATCTTACACAACTGTCTTTGTCTGTCAACTACGAGAATGTTCGAAACGTAACGGCAGTATATGACATATTGAATCGATTAATATGAATGTAATCTTTGAGAAGAATGTCACGAAAATGCGAGTACCTGTAATTTAAGTTGACAACTTTGTTAAAGAGAAAAGCACGGCCTGTAGCTCCCGTGAAACGCGTGCTTATCAGCTGAGCTCTATTTGTAAGATTGGTGTCACAGGAAGCGCAAGAAAACAGACGAGTACCTCCGATGTGTTCCAAAAAAATTACGCCCATCCTGAAATGTCGTTAATCGCTTCCCAGAAATTTGATACAAAATAGCAACAGTAAAAGAATCAAGTAAATTTACTCTGAATCTGTGGGGGACGAACAAGCCAAGCAATTTGACGTAGATATCACTACCGTCACAGCACGATATAAACACTACGCACGACACGACATATACACACGCGAGCTGTATTGTACATGGATATATACACGAGCGTTCGTAGTTGTCAAGTCAGTTTGATCGCATTTCATGAATTTTAAATTCCAAGATGTTTAAACCCTGTACAAATTTTATACGTCGCGACTAAAGCGATCCTAGCAAAGAGATCTTACATTATAATTGTTTAAAACAATTTGTTTTGCATTAAATTTTGTTCGTTGCGTAAAATAATAAAAAAATGTATGATTCGTATATTTTTTTCATATTGTTTTTCGTGACAAAAAATAATATTTAATGACGTATAATTAACTTAATTTACCGTATCTTATTAATTCAGAAGACCCGAAAAAGATTAATTGTTAGTATAGGAAAAGATTTGATTAATACACGAAAGAATTGTATCAAAAAATATATAAATTTCGCTTTAACAGTTAAAGTCTTTAATAGATTTAAAATCTCTAGTAGACTGGTTTTTATTATTCATTTTTGCTTGACATAGTTTGTA